TTGGATGTCGCACGAGTGTTCGTCATCATGGAATAGGAATCAAATTTTATCGTTCCCCACAGATGGCGCCAATGTTCGGTCCTAGAGAACCGTAGAATTATGCCGTTAGTATGCGCTCAGAGATATCCAATAGACAGATATCTTGGTTGGCTTATATCCAATATTCCAATCATGGGCTTCTATTATAAATTGTTTATTTTGATGCAATATTACGCTTGAATTTTACGTGTCTCTTCTCACAAGGTTAAGTTCCTGCTTCATAGTGTTTATTCTAGTTTATTGTTGAGGACAACAAAGTCTAAATCTGGGAATTATTTGACGAGTCTCCAAATTACTATGTACTAAGGGTCAATATAAACATGAAATTGATTTAAAAGTAATTAAAAGTTATGAGAATTATGATTAAATTGTTATTTTATTCTCAATAATATTCTCATAAGATTTCTTATATTTTACAGTAAATTTCAGCTCAATAAAGAGATAAATTGGAGATATCAAGTAGTGTTGCTTTGGATTTCTGAATCATTCAAGATCTTATCAAATCTTCGTTTGAATATTTTTAAGGAAAGTTTTCCATTAAATAAAAAGGGGAAGATTTGAAGGATTGGATCGAAGATATGATTAGAGATTCTAGTGAAGATTCCATTGAAGATATTATGGAAAATTAAAAAATATGATTTCATCCATATAAAAAGGCATATCTTGGAAACACAAATACGGAATTTGACAGAGGCAAGAACATTGAGAGAGAGAAGGAGAACACCGGATACCAGAGTTAGATATTCCAGAGAGAGGAGCTTGAAGGAGACTGAGCAACATTAATTCTTTTTCTTCTTCTTCTTTTTTTATTTCTTTGTTTTGTTTAAGTCAGATATGTCTAGCTAATTTTCTTTTGTAGTTAGGATTATGGATCTGATGTGAATCCTAGTTGCGGTTTAATTTGGTTTCTTTAATACATTGTTTTAGTTATTTGTGTTTTACCTTGCATAAATTTCTATATCCTTGTATGAATTGATCACTCTTATAGGGATTTGAGAGTTAGGGCTCACAATAGACATATTGGTGTTTTAATCCTGACAGGGGTAAAATACCAATTCTTGCATGATCTAGACATAGGCTTGCTTGAGTTGTAGACTTCGTAATTCATTGTGTCTAATGCTTATTTTAAGAGGAATCACTAAGACATTAAGATTCTAATTAGAGTAAAGGGTTAAAGTCACTAAGACATTAGGATTTAACCAACTATTTTTAGAAGATGAATTGTCTGAAATATCTGAGGTAATTTAATATTGAAATTAAATTAAACAACTCTAAAAGCATCTGAGGTGAAATAATTCCTAACTGCAGTTTCCGTCTTTGATATTCTAAACTTCATTCTTAATTCTTGCGTTCTTGTATGTTCTTGAATTGTTCTTGCAATTACTTTTTGTTCTTTTAATTTTATTTTAATTCAAAAATTCTTCTCTAAAACAAATTGATTTGTCCAAATTAAAGAGAACAATTAGGATAGTAATTGGTGCTTTAATCCTTGTGGGACGATACTCTTCTCACCACTTTATTACTTGAAATGATCGGTATACTTGCCGTAATCGCATCATATATCAATCAAATCATGACTATCATGTTAGATAGTATCTCTCCTCCGACCTCCTGCCCTGCGATGCCTCAGCGCCATCAACTACTGTACCTGAAATGGTTAGCCTAATAATGCGGGGTGAGATAATATAATTATCTCGATAAACCAGGGGTCCTTAGAGGGCTCATACACCCCTAAGCTCACTCTAGGTATAACCATAGTATAAAAATATATGCATGCATCAGAATATGTATTTCAACACAGTGCCAATAATGTATTATTGCTTCTGAGCTTGTTGCTTGAGCCTCATAGGGTATGGAGGTTTCTCAAAACATGAGAAATCTTATTGCTTCTTTTAAACTATAGGAGACTGCATTTTTGCTTCTTCCCTTTCTTCTTGAGTGTGCTCATTCTTGATTTTAGAAGCTTGGACTTTCTCCTTATCTTGCTCCTCTTCATTGTTGAGCTCATAATCTAGCTTTTTCTGCACCACCTTTGATTTTTCTTGAGGTTCAATCATCTTCCCCTTCAAGTGGTAATTGTGTTGCAATGCTCTCGCAGGTTAACCATATTGTTACTAAGGAAAATGTCTTGATTTTTCTCAGCTAGTTGCCTTGAAAGCTGCCAAATTTGACTCTCCAAGTTTCTGATAGATGCATCTTGATTCTTGAAGGAAGTCCTTGCCTTTTGAATGAATGCACTTGTATCACTCCTAAAAACATCAGTTCTTTGCATATAGTTTGTGGTGGTCTTGGTTGGTTGCATTAATGCTTTTTCCAATTCAGAGGTATTGCTTTGTGGAAGAAGTGTGGGTTGCAACTGCTGTTGTGATCTCCAATTAAAACCTAGATAAGTCTTCCATTTAGAGTTGAAAGTATCCCCAAGAGCATTGTTATGATTTCTTGGAGGATTATTCTGAGCTCTCTAATCTTACCAGACTCTATTGACTTGAACTGGATCTGGGTAGGGTTGACAAAACGGGCCTACACGACTCAACCCGGCCCGACCCGCTTCCAACCCGAAAAAAACGAGCTGGGTTAGAGTTGGCTCGAAAAAAAAAACGAGTTAGAAAATCCAACCCAACCTGACCCGATCCGGGTTAGGGTTGGCTCGCGGGTTGACTCGAAAACATGACTCGCGGGTTGGCCCGAAAAGATGAGTCACTGAAACCAAAACCCTTGAACTCTCTTCAACCGTTCCAGCAGATATAGTGCGTTTAATGCTTCCTTTAAATTCCCGGTTCAGAACTGGTTTCATCATAATCAAGCAGAGATCAATCCTTCTTAATAATTTCTTCAATGTGAACAAAAGATGCAGCCCGTTCAGGGAAAGAAATTGGGCATCAATATTTGAGCCAGTGGCTTGCATCAAAGTGTGCTTAGTGGATTTTGATGTCAGAGAAATGGGAGATAGATTCACACCACTGTCATATAAATGGTGAAAAATGGGTTGGTGTTTCGTTTGAAGACAGAGGCGGAACTTGCATACTGGTGGGGATGTAAAGAAGAACGAACCTAAAGAAACTGAATTCATGGAAAAGCGAACAAAGTTTTAGCTGCGAGAAGTGACAAAGAAGAAAGAAAGTGATGGCAACGTAGTTCTTTGTCTTTTTGATATTTGTTTAATTAAAAAAAAAAACTTAACCCGCGAGCTGACCCGTTTAACTCGCTGGTTGGCTCGTTTTTTTCCGAGCTGAGTCGGGTCGAGCTAACTCTGGTTGTCAGCTTATTTTTGTCAACTCAACCCGGCTCATTTTTGGAAGATTACGAGCCAACTTACCACCTAGAGGGATCTAAAAGTCATCTCCACTGCAAAGTACCTTTTTCTTGCCATTGTTAGCGCTGCACTAACTACAAAAGAGACACTACGCAAGCGCTTGCGATTTGTACTCGACTTTTGATTTTCCTTTGTGATTCTGGGACTACAGAGTGCACTCCTTTCCAAATGATATAAATTTATGCCCTTCCTTCCTTTTGCTAGAACCATACAGCCTCGTGTGACTTTTACAACCCTACGAGAAATTGTAGTCTTTAAAACTTTTGGAGTCCAAAAAGCTAATTAAAATAAGGTTTCCACGTCCCATTGGAATATAAATCACACCACTCAAAGTACAAACCACTTCATCAAACATATTTATTTTAATCGTTCCTAATCATATCGGGAATTGTTCTTAATTTTTTCAAATAAATTTTTATTTAAAAAATCTTACAAAGTATAGGAATTTATAGCTTAATTTTCTTTTAAAACTTTATATAAATAAAAGATTAATAGAACTTGAGCACAAAAATAAAATAATAGAAGTTTAGTTGACAATATTTTATTGGATTTAATGTTTCTCATATTGTAGAAGATAAATCTATCTCTTACGCACACATAAAAATGTGAGGCCCATGTCGACCAATGTGAGAAGAATAGAGAGAAAGAAAAAATATAGACCAATGATCGCTGGCCCTTTTTCAAAACGACGTGAAGAAACCGACTTTAATCCCCGGTTTTGGCGTAGTGAGATCTCACACACTTTTATACGTGTATATGAGATCAATTTATCTCCTACAACAAGAGAAACAATAAATCCTATTTTATTTAGAGAAGAATTTCCGTAGAGAGAGGATTTGAATTCCATTGGAATTAAGTATGCTTGACCAAAATACATGCTATTACAATACTGAATTCTATGTTCTTTGAGCATGTGGATTTGATACTCTTATCTGTCATATGTGAGCAAAGCTTGAATAACATTTTATTAAAAAGTAAAACAACAAAATAACTTGAGTATAATTTGTTTCATCTTAATCAATGGTCATGAATTTGAATTTTGGGTAGGTAACTTTGTTAAAAATTTGATAGAGAGAGTTGTATCGCTTTGTTATCCTGTCTAGTTCAATTGGACTAGTTGGATATCCGATGGAGAAGTAAAAATAAATTACTTTCTTAAAAAATCTTATTATTTTTGTCTTAAACTTTAAACTTTATATCAAATACTACAAATTAAATGATAAAAGTTACATATTTTTATTACTCAATTTATAACTTTTATTACTCAACCGATAATTTTAAAAAATAATAATAATAATCATGATAGTATTTTAAAGGGAGGTACCATGATTATAATAATTTCTAAAATCTTCAAATCCAATATTTTTATTCTTTATCTCTACGTACAACCAAATTTGAGTTTCCTTGTTACTCAAATCATTGAATAGTTCTTCACACGGCTTCAAAAGTCAATGCCAATGTACTTTGCATATTGCAAGGAAATCTCCTAAGAAAAGATCAATCAACATATCATACACCAAACCCATCAACGATTACACCCTACAAATAGTCAAATAGGCATAAACATACTTGTTACACCATATTTTCATCAATCACCTAAAACTTCTCCTACCAATCATATATCACACTATCATAATTGCCTCTCACCATGTGTTGCAAATTCCGCTGCAGCTTCTGCTGCATCTGTTTGACAATCTTTGCTTTTATTTTCATGATCATACTTTTTATGATCATCTTCTTCACAATCATCTCACCCACAAACCTCAAGTTCTATGTAACTGAGGCCTCTCTCACACAGTTCAACCTCACCAACAACAACAACTTATATTACAACTTCAAAGTAAACATCACAGTGAGAAACCCCAACAAGAAGGTCATAGTGGATTATAGAGGGATCACAGCAATTGCTTGGTACAAAGATAATGACTTTGCTTATTTGAGTTTGGCACCCTTTGACCAAGGCCAAAAGAACACTAGCTTCCTTCAAGTGCAGTTTGAAGGAAATAGTGTGTGTAGTCTCAAACCTAAACAACTAGGTGAGTATAATGAGGAGACACGTGTTGGGATTTACAATGACTTGGATGTGGATTTGGATTTTCGAATTAGATTCAATTATGTTGGAAGGTACAAAAGTAGTCGTTTCAATCCACCTATTGTTCAGTGTCGTCGTTTGAGAGTTCCTTTGATTTCAAATGGTACATTAGAATCTCCTTTCAGTGTTACAAAATGCAGCACCCCTTATTTCTTTGTAGATCGTGATTCAGGAGATTAATATGAATCATTTAAATCTTAAGAAATTTGAGTTGACAAAGTGAATTTGTACACAATTTCTCACAAAGTGCTACATGGATATGGCTATATGCATATAATAAAATCAACCTCTCATGTTATGTATTGTTCAAATTTAATTTTATTTCAGTTTGCTTTTCAGTTCTTCTAGCTAGTTCTGGTTCTTGTGCTTGATAGCTATGTTTAGAGGACAAGCCTTGTACCACTATGAATCGTTTTCAAAGGTAGAGGAACAATTGATGTTGACATTGATTTATTGCTTTTGCGAAGTCAAAAATTGAAATAATTAATTTCTTTGCATTTGGAGTTTTTTAATTTTATTTTAAATGAATTCTTTTCAATTTTTTTAATAAATTATTGTTTCATTTTCGTCAACAATATAGAGAACCCTCCACACGATAAGGATCAAATTGTTTATTGTTTATTATAAAAGTAAAACTGAATAGCCACCCTTATTGATAATTTATTCTTTTTTATATATAAAATACTACTCAAGTTGTTTCTTGTTGACAATTTTAACTTCCATATATTGTCCACTGATCGAGGACAATATCCTCTTGGAGAACAAGCTTTAAATGATGCAATGCTAATTGTTAAAGAATATAGAATTGTATATACTCTTGTATCTGGTCTCATTTCATTTGGTTACTCTTTGCTTGCGTGTTATTTTTCAGTGGCAAGAAATCATTCATGATCAAATCACTCAGAGCTGTGACAGAAAGGGGAGTGGATCTCTCATGTAAAAATGTGGTCATGTTATTTGATCACAACCACTTATTTAAAAATTATATATATTTTTTTCTTTTATCTCATCATCAATGAGTTGTTGTGATCAAATAACATGACTACATGATCATTTTTCCACATGAGAAAATCCACTCCCGACAGATCAGTGCCTGTAATTCACTTGCATCTAAAACTATTGGGTATTTATAACTTAATCTAATTTCTTTTTTAAATTTATAAAAAAATGTAAGATGAATAGAACTTAAGCACAAAAATTAAATAATAAAACTTTAGTTGACAATATTTTACTTAGAGAAAAGGCTCGGTAGAGAAAGGATTTGAATTCCATCGGAAGCATGTTTGACCAAAATACATGCCATATTTACAAAACTGAGTTTTTATGTTCTGTGAGCTTATGAATTTGATACTCTTATCTGTTATACGGGAGCAAAGCTTGAATAGCATTTTAAAAAAACAACAACATAATCATTAGGATATTCTAGGCTGAAGTAAAGTTTGTTCCATTTGATATCCAAAAAAAAAAAAAGTTTGTTCCATTTTCATCAGTGATCATGGATATATAATTATGTTAAAAATTTGGTAGACAAGATTTTGTCACTTTTATAATTCTGCCTTATCTGACCACACTGATCGAGTAACCGAACAGATAGGGAAAAAAAAATGTAATTCCTATCATTTAAACTTTATATCTGTACCGAAAAAAAATTGCTTTGTGAAACAGGGGCGGACCTAGGGAGGGATAGCATTGGGGCCACTTCTCCCTAAATTTTAATTTATTTTATTTTATATATAAAATAATTCTTTTTAATAATAATATACTATTAGTAATAGTTAGGATCTTCTATTAATTTTAATACTATTTATAATTTTAAAATTTTATTTTCATGTTCTATTATAAAAAATTCTGGGTCCATCCTGAAATGAAATGTAGTGTGATTGAAATAGGTGAAAGTGTTCTGTACACGTTTAGGGTGCGCATGACAACCTTCCCGGAATCAATTCTTTTTTAATTTCTGTTCCCGGGAACAGAAATGGATAGGAAACTCGTTTGGTAAAACCGGTTTATTTTTTTGTTTCCGGGATGAACAGGTTTAATTTTTGTGCTGGGGAACAGAAAAAAGAATAAAAAAATTTCTTTTTTTTTGTTCCCGGGCTCAAAATGAGAAACACTTATCTCTCTCAATCACTCTACCATCATGCCACCACCACCACAACTACCATCGCCGCCACCGCCACCAACACCACCACCATCACTATCACTGCCATCAACCACCACCACCATCATCGCAACCATTGCCGTCACCGCCACCATCGCCATCACATGCCAGTGCCACCACCCTCATCGCCATCACTACCACCACCATGACGCCGCCACTACCATCACCACCACTGTCACCAACCACCACTACCATTGCAGCAACCACTACCGTCTTCACCGCCGCCGCCGCCACCGCCACTAATCACCACCACCATCGTCACAGCCATTACCGTCATCACCACCACCATCGCCACCATTACACCAACGCCACCACTACCATCACCAAGCCATCGCCACACCGCCGCCACCATCACCACCACCACTGTCACCTACCACCACTGCCGCAACCACTGCCACCACCACCACCACCACCACCCCCATGATGCCTTCACCTCCACCACCACCATCCCCACCACTACCACCGTCGCTGCCACCATCATCATCGCTATCGTTGCAGCCACTGCCGTCACAACCACCACTATCTTCACCACGTCACTGCCACCATCACTACCGTACTGCCGCCACCACCACAACCACACCATATGGAAATGAAAGAGTTGATCCGAAATTTTTTTATATTTAATAGGAATTATTTTTTATTATATTATTTGTTGTGTTATCAAACACAATTCTCATTCTCGGAATAAAAATGGAACATGTTATCAAACACATTTTTTTTTCTCAGAAACTGTTCCAAGGCACAGAAATAGAAAATAATTGCTTCTTTTCAGAAACAGTGCTCGGGAATAGAATGGTTGTCATGCACACCCTTAATGTGGTGAGCGTAATGGGCTTGAGACTTGACTAGAAGCATTTCTTTAATGTTTGCGCTGAATTAAAGCCCAAAATTTTATAAGGTTCACATGCATAGCCCCTAGTATTTTATTATGTTTTTTTTTTTGATTAATTGGGGGGCCATTAGGCCCAAAACAAAAAAACTATGACAAAATTAAACTAGAAAACGACCCTGCAATTGGAAGGGAGTCCAGTCCGCATTGCACAGCCGCGCTAAGCCTTGAGGGATTTTGAAATGTCATATCCAACACTATTTAATATTTCATTCTCCAACACTCGAACTCCAACGCGCAATTCAACGAGCTAATTGTGTATAATATCTAAATTAATTTGTATATATTGACTAAATATCAAAGTCCTATCATTAATCAGATCTTGACCAAGTTAGGTTCGAATTTAATAAATTAACTCAATCAAAATATTGAATCAAATTTGACAAATTGTGTCCAGATACACCTAAGATAGTTTGTCTCATCACAATTCACAAACACCACTAATTATAGGAATGATTTTTTTATTTTTTGGCTAGGTAGAATACGGGAATAAGTCTCTCTTTTTTCTGGTTTTAAATGGTTTCTCGGGCAATCAACGAGGAGTGAATCTTCAGTAGTACCGTCGTAGGTACATCATTGTCTGTACTTTTGCCACGTGTCAGCATTCTGTTATTCTAGCTGGGCAGCTCAGCGAGAATGGTTGACCATTCAGATGTTGACATGTGTCCAATCCACAAATGCAATGTTAAAATCTTATTATCTGTACCCAAAAAAAATCTTATTATTTATGTTTTAAACTTTATATCAAATACTACAAATTAAATAATAAAAGTTACATATTTGTATTATTCAATTTATAACTTTTATTATTAAATTTGTAACTTTATTACTCAACCCTAATTTGTTTTTTGTTTTTTAAAAGAAGCTAACTATGATAGTTTTTTTTTAAAGGAAGTACGATGATTATAATAATTTGTAAAAGAGTCCATCAGATATCATGTTAGGACATCCTGCAAAAGGAAAAAAAAAAACAACTATTTATTATATATTATGTATTATTAGACCTACCATCAAATTTTCATATCTAGAAAGTATATCTTATGATAAGTCTTAAAGTCTCACTAGTTAAAATTTCCCCTTTCCCTTACATTACCGACCCTATACATGAACAATGAGTTTAGTATGCCTAATTAAAGAAACTAAACTGGCTAGGTGGTGTAGCTATACTTTCTTTAAACAACTTTTAATTTATAACTAGAGAATTTATAATTTACTTCAGAAAATTTTTTAATCACTTTTATCTTAACAAAAATAACTTAAAAATATGGATAAAATTAATCTTATATTAGGGAAAAATATTTCTGTAGTTATAAGTTAGCTGGGACTTATCTGCAGAAAAGTGAACCCCTTATATTATTGCATAACAGAGAAAATCTTATGTAGAAAACTGTACGCATCAATATTTTTTTTCTTTAAATTATTCTCTCAATCTTCTTGTGATGCAACAACAAAGCAAATCGGTTTCTAAGTTCGAGTTACATTTTTTTTTATTATACTCTCTACTCTCTTTGGAAACAACAACCCCTCCCCGGCGGCCGCGCCGCCCTTTGTCCTCTCTCCCTCCCTCTCTCAGTCTCTCTATTTTCCACCCCGGAAAATCTTCTTCTGTTCTTCACCTCCAAATGGTACAAAAAAACAATCTTTTGTGGAACATTGTTGGACCCAGAATGGTAAAAGTTATTATAGGAGAGTAAAGGCAACAACTTTGGATGAAGTTCCCCCAAACGCTCTTCGCAGGAAAAAAGACCCTCAATGGAGAGGAGGCTTCAGCCTTGGAGTTGACTTGGGAATGGCTCGCACTGCCCTTGCCCTCAGTAAAGGTTTCTCTATTCGCCCTTTACTTTAAAGGTAAAAATCCATGCTTTCTTTCTGAATTTTGATGCCCATGTTCCTGTTTCATTCTCAGCATGTAATGTTATCAAGTTCTGATGTGTTTTTTTACTTCAGATTCTGCGAAATTTGGGTGAATTGAGCTGATGGTGTCCTTTCTTTTTTATTGTTGTTGATGATGAAAATGTTCTTGATTAGTGCATTGTTCTTCAGCACCTTCAACACAGGAAGGCAAACAAAATAAAAAATAAAAAAATATCTCATATTATTACAAGTTTATAATATCTCATATTCTTATCCTTATAAAATAAAATAAAAAATAAAAAAGTTAAAAAAAGAAACATCAGAGAAGGCAGACAAGTCAAGTCAACTCCGCGTTCCGTTCTGTTCTGTTCTGTTTAACAAATACAGTGTGTTTTCGTAGTTTCTGTATTTGTGCGTTGTTGATTTTGAGCTAATTGATTTGAGTAAAGTGAGCAATCAATCATGGCAAGCCAAGAACCATCGTTGCCCTCTTCTTCCTTTAGCTATCGATGGAAATACGATGTGTTTCTCAGCTTTAGAGGAGAAGATACTCGTCACGGTTTCACTGGCCATCTCTACAAAACTCTTCATGACAGGGGAATCCACACCTTCATTGATGATGAAGAGCTTCAAAGGGGAGAGGGAATCACACCAGCACTTCTCAAGGCTATTGAGGAATCCAGGATTGCCATCATTGTGCTCTCTAAGAACTATGCTTCTTCTTCATTTTGCTTGGATGAACTAGTCCATATCCTTCACTGCATCAAGGAAAAAGGTCGGTTGGTTTTGCCAGTTTTTTATGACGTTGATCCTTCTCACGTGCGACATCAGAGAGATAGCTATGAAGAAGCACTCTCTACTCATGAGAAGAGGTTTAAGGATGACATGGAGAAGGTGCAGAAATGGAGGGTGGCTCTGCGTCAAGCAGCTGACTTGTCTGGCTTTCATTTCAAACAACAAGGGTACTGTTTTATCTTCCTTTTTTTTTCTTTTTTTTAATGTTTCTTTAATTTTCATTTGTCTAATGATTTGATTTAATGTTAATATGTTTCATTTAGTATGACTTCACTCAATAATTGGGCAGGAATGAAAATGAATATGAGTTTATTGGGAAAATTGCTAAAGTGGTCTCCAACAAGATTAATCGGGTTCCTTTACATGTTGCGGATTATCCAGTTGGATTGGAGTCTAAAGTGCTACAAGTAATCTCACTTCTCAATGTTGGATCTGATGGAGTCCATATGATAGGGATCCATGGAATTGGTGGCATAGGGAAGACAACCGTTGCTCGAGCAATTTATAATTTGATTGCCGAATCATTTGAAGCTTTGTGTTTTCTTGATAATGTAAGAGAAAATTCAATTAAATATGGATTAGAACATATCCAAGAGACACTTATTTCTAAAGTATTCGGAGAGAAGGATATTAAGTTAGCAAGTGTCAATGAAGGAATTTCAATAATAGAGCATAGGCTCCACCAAAAGAAAGTTCTTTTGGTTCTTGATGATGTTGACAGACTGGAGCAGTTGCGGGCAACTGTTGGAGGGCTTGATTGGTTTGGTTGTGGCAGCAAAATCATCATTACAACTCGGGACAGGCATTTGCTAACAAGACATGGGGTTGAGAAAACTTATGAGGTAGATGGGTTGAATAATAAAGAAGCTCTTGAGTTACTTTGTTGGAATGCTTTTAAAACTGACAAAGTTGATTCGAGTTATGTGGATATTTTAAAGCGTGCAATAACTTTTTCTTCTGGCCTTCCACTAGCATTGGAGGTGATAGGTTCCTACTTGTTTGGGAAAGGGATACAAGAATGGGAATCGGCATTAGATCAGTATGAGAGAATTCCTAATAAAGAGATCCAAAAGATACTTGAAATAAGTTTTCATTCTTTGGGGGAATATGAGCAGGAAATTTTTATTCATATTGCTTGTTACTTCAAAGGAAATCATCTAGCATATGTCAAAAAATTACTTTATGCTCATCATGGTTTCTGCCCAGAATATGGTATTGGAGTGCTAATTGAAAAATCTCTCATAAAGATTGTGTATGGTCAAGTAACATTGCATGACCTGATAGAGGACATGGGTAAAGAAATTGTCCGACAAGAAGCACCAAAAGAGCCTGGCCAACGTAGTAGATTATGGTTCCCTGATGATATAGTTCAAGTTTTAGAAGATAATACGGTAAGACTAATATAGATGGTTTGGAATCCAAATTTTACCTTATCTCTTTTGATTATTATGTGCTAGACACCTAGGTTACTATATTTATACCTCTGTGTACAATCTTTTGTTGACAGTGTTATTTTACTGTCAGTTGTTCTCCATATATATATATATATGTATTTCGGTTGACCTGTGCTTTTCTCTTGATAGGGAACTAGTAGTATTCAAATCATAATTCTGGATTTCCTCAAATTTGAAGAAGTAGTAGAATGGGATGGAAACGGCTTCAAGCAGATGAGAAACCTGAAAACACTCATTATAAGAAATGCTCGTTTTTCTGAAGGCCCCAAACATCTTCCAAGTAGTTTGAGAGTACTGGAATGGTGGGAATATCCTTCACCATCTTTACCATCTAATTTTAATCCAAAGAAACTTGTGATACTGGAGTTACCCCAAAGTCGCTTAGTGTCAATTGATTTGCTCATGTCAAATAAGGTAAGTATAATAAGTTCTTTTTCCTGGTCTTTTATATCAATATAAGAAATTTGAGATAAATCATTTGATTCCTTTATTATTATTTTTTTCTTTTTCTCGTTGCAGGTGTTTGTGAATATGAAAGTTTTGAATTTTAATCATTGTCAATATATAACAGAGATACCTGATGTGTCTGGAGTCCCAAATTTAGAAGAATTATCATTTGGAGACTGTGAGAATTTAATTAAAATTCATGAATCGGTTGGATTCTTGAATGAACTTAAAATCTTGAACGCTGAAGGTTGCAAGAAGTTTAGGAGTTTTCCACCCATCAAGTTGACCTCACTTGAAAAACTCAAGCTTTCATATTGTCCTAGTCTTGAGAATTTTCCAGAAATATTAGGAAAGATGGAAAAAATAAAACTTATTCATGTCTTTGACACTCGGATAAAAGAACTGCCATTTTCAATTCAAAACCTCACTCAGCTTGAAAGAATAGATCTGAAGCCTTGTGGAGGAATGTTTCATTTACCAAGGAGCATTTTGATGTTGCGAGAGTTTGATGAGTTGAATGTTTGGAATTGTGAGGGGTTGCTTATATCTAAACAGGAGGAAGGTGATGATGCACAAGTGAGCTCATTGGAGTTTGAAATTAGCTTTTGGGAATGCAATTTATCAGATGAATTCATTCGAAAAGGTCTCCCTTTGTTTGTCAATGAGTTAACCCTAACCGATAGTAATTTCACAATTCTTCCGGTATGCATGAGAGAATGTCTCTTTTTGACAGAAATTATGTTATATCGTTGCAAGAATTTTTGTGAGATTGGAGGGATTCCACCCAACTTAAAAAAATTCACTGCAAGGGAGTGCAAATCCTTGAAAGATTTAGACCTCACACTATTCCCTGAATGTTTGACGACACTTGAGTTGTATAATTGCGAGAATCTTCAAGAAATTAGAGGGATTTCACCCAACATAAGAACTTTGGATACATCAGAATGCCCATCCTTGACTTCCGAGTGTAGAAACATGTTACTGAATGAGGTTCTTGTTTTCTTATGTATTTAATTTGATATTTCATATTGACTCAAACTATACAGGTGTTGCTAAATGTGTGAATAAATTATGACTAGCAGGAATTGCACAAGGAAGGTGGAGACAAAGTGTTTCTCTTGCCAGAAACAAAGATTCCAGAGTGGTTTGAGAATTGTTTCAATGGACCGTCAATTTCTTTCAGGTTCCGTAACATGGACTTCCCTGCGATATCTATATGTTTTGCTATTCGACTCAATAATGTAAAATCTGGCACTGGTAGTGAGTATTGGCCCCGTTTTAAGCTCAATATTGAAGTCAATGGCATTTCAAAAGTTACAGGAGATGATTTCTCTTTGGGTTGCAAAGCAGGGGATTATACAGTTCTTTTTGATATAAAACAGGAAATATTCTTACTTGATGATGTTGTTCTTCTAGAAGAAAATACATGGAATTGTGTGGTGTGTACTATATCAAACAGAACAGACCCAGTGTTTGTCAAACAAAGTGGAATCCATGTATTCGAAGAAGGAAGGAGCATGGCGGACATTCAATTCACTGATCCACTGTTGCTGGAAGAAGAGCATAGATTGGTGGACATGGAAGATTCTCAGAAACATTTTGTGCAGCACCAAAATAATTTGGCTCCATTGCCTTTTTTGGAAACAATAAATTTGGGAAAGGGTAGAGGGTTGCTTTCATTGCTTCCACCTCCAGCATTGAATGATAATGTGATTTGGCATTCAAATTTAATGTTATCAAGGCTGAGAAGTAGCACTCCTAATTTCCAAGGTAAATAGAATACATTTGTTGCATTCCTTTCTCGGTATGCTTTCACTATCTCAACGAGAACCAGGGCTAGAATGCTCATGAGGTGCATTGTTAATTTTTTTCTAGAAGAAAGTATAAATAATTTCAATTAGTTGTTTAAGTAGTGTATGGAAATATAAGAAAATAAAATTTATAAATTTTGATTGAACTTTATAAGTATTTTGGCTTCTTAATTTGGAAAAAGTTACTCAACTTTATCATCTCAACAGGCTGTGAAATTGTGTCCAGAGAGAGGAAAATAGGTATGTTAAATTTGGACTTGAACAATGGAGCCAGTGAACCTTGTTCTCCTGCACCTTCAAAAGTTGTTTTCAATTCAGCAGTGTCAAGCTTTGCTAGTGGTGCCGCTGGTGAAGAAGGTAAACAATAGTGGGGCATTGATTTCTCAAGAGATTATTATGATTCAGATTCATATTTATTTATTTTACCAAAATTACAGTTTAAACCAACAAGCGAGGTCAATTCCACAAAAGTTTTCTGTCTCTTGACAGTACCTCTCCCTAGATTACCTAACTCAATTTGTTGTGTTGTGGAATTTATTCCTTGGGCCAATTTTAGTGCACTGACTATTGGTCAAATAAAAGCAAATTACTAAAATGAACATTACAGACTTACTGACTTATATATATTCAGCATGTGATTGGTCAAACTTATAAATTGAATATCTCACCATCTGAATAAGTTTTTATTGTTAAGTTCACCATTACTAATTCTTCTGCTTTTTTACTAATTTATTATTTTTAATTGGCTATAACTACACCATCTTGCTGCTTGAATTAAAACTCATACTCTAAATTGTCATGCTTCAGGAGAATCTTCTTCTCAAGATTGAGTCCACTGCATCTGAGTTCCAGGAGCTGATAAATTAGAAACTGATATGGAAATAAACATGAACCACTTCAGGGAAGTTGTTGCCTTACAAAAAGAGCTGCTTCAAAAGTTCGACTGTATGGAAAAGCAAATCAATGCTATACTGCTTCTCAATCAGAGAAGAACATGACTCACAAGAGAAGGAAAGATATATCTTTGAGGAACAAAAAACAATAACTCAAATGATTACTGCCCTGTGCTTAAATAATTTGTTTATAGGTTTTTTGAATTCTTTTTGTTGTTAATTTACTAGTTGTGTGACACAGCTTTATACTACTTTTAAATATTAATTAAATGCTGGTTCTTTGCAAGGCTAGTTTACCACAAAACATTTTCCCTAACGAGTATGGAAAATTTGTCCCTAAACTAGCAACTGACGGGAATTCCACGAGGGAGCTAGAGACAAGATGTTTTTATTGGATAAAGGAACTACTTCCGGTTCTTGCCAGTTGCTGGTCATATATTTTTATTGGATGATAAACAGATAAAATTTGTAGATGATGAGGATGAATTACTTTCAGAGAATGAATGGAATCATGTGATGTTTTCTACTGATGTCAATAACACGTTCCAAATGGGACTAATAGGCACACTAATTGGATTCCATGCATTCAAACAAGAAAGTAGCAAGGAGGATATCAGATTCACCAATCCTTATAAGAGGGGAAAATTAAATGAAGATCTCATAAATTGGTGGATATGAGTTTCATAGAACAATAAATGCAATAAGAACAAATTTGACTTTACTGGAAATGCATGTGGGACAGTGCAGAGAGTGACTTTCTTTGCTTCTGCCTCCAGCAATGAAGTTATTGAACAATAATATGATTTGGGATTAAAATTAAATGGCATCAATGTGGTTAAGTAGCATCCCTTTTGTCCAAGGCAAGTAAGCTTGTGGCATTTCTTTCTCTTTCTGCTTTCACTCTTACTAAATTAAGCTGCCATACATATTTAACTCCTCTACAGAAATGGAAGAAGCAAAAAATGTAAGAAAGGATTATTACATGCTACTTCAAAACATTTGTAGACATTCCTTACTTTTATTATAATTATTTAGCTTGTAGGAGCATCCTGGATTTGATTTGTTAGCATTTTCAGATGTACCATTGAATCCTAATGTATAAATAAATCTATCATAATGAAATTCTTGCCTTTCGCTCGAAGGGGAATTAGTCGCACTCTTTCTCCGGTGACAGTGGTCTAATGCATCCTATTCCAATAAGGACTTAGCCTTAGACTTTGTTTGGGAGTCATTATTTGGAGAGGACGGAAAGGAATATGAGGGTTTACTTGTGCCTTTCCCTAATTTGTGAATTTAAAAAAGGGTTTTATTAATCTTATTTGAAAGGAGAGAAGTTATCTCATGTCATAGAGATAAATTTGTGAGTTTCACCACCTGAAAAAATAAAAAATAAAAGAAAAAAGAAAAAAAAGTGACACAATTACCGAAAACTGTGTAGGAGAGAAAACTTATCTTATGTTGCATGAGAATAATTTTTCCTTTTAAAAAAATAGGGGAAGGGAATATTGGGGATTTTTGTAAAACTCTCCAAAACCATTCTCACCCTTATTACTCAACCTATAAATTATTATTTTTTAAAAGAAGCTATGATAGTTTTTTAAAGGGAGGTACCATGATTATAATAATTTCTAAAATCTTCAAATCCAATTTTTTTATTCTTTATCTCTACGTACAACCAAATTTGAGTTTCCTTTTACTCAAACCATTGAATAGTTCTTCACACGGTTTCAAAAGTCAATGCCAATGTACTTTGTATATTGCAAGGAAATCTAAGAAAAGCTCAAGCAACATATCATACACCAAACCCATCAATGATTCCACCCTACAAATAGTCAAATAGGCATAAACATACTTGTTACACCATATTTTCATCAATCACCTAAAACTTCTCCTACCAATTATATATCACACTATCATAATTGCCTCTCACCATGTGTTGCAATTCCCGCTGCTGTTTGACAATCTCTGCTTTTATTTTCATGATCATACTTTTTATGATCATCTTCTTCACAATCATCTCACCCTCAAACCTCAAGTTCTATGTAACTGAGGCCTCTCTCACACAGTTCAACCTCACCAACAACAACAACTTATATTACAACTACAAGGTAAACATCACAGTGAGAAACCCCAACAAGAAGGTCATAGTGGATTATAGAGGGATCACAGCAATTGCTTGGTACAAAGATAATGACTTTGCTCATGTGAGTTTGGCACCCTTTGACCAAGGCCAAAAGAACACTAGCTTCCTTCAAGTGCAGTTTGAAGGAAATAGTGTGTTTAATCTCAAACCTAAACAACTAGGTGAGTATAATGAGGAGACACGTGTTGGGATTTACAATGACTTGGATGTGGATTTGGATTTTCGAATTAGATTCAATTATGTTGGAAGGTACAAAAGTAGTCGTTTCAATCCACCTATTGTTCAGTGTCGTCGTTTGAGAGTTCCTTTGATTTCAAATGGTACATTAGCATCTCCTTTCAGTGTTACAAAATGCAGCACCCCTTATTTCTTTGTAGATCGTTATTCAGGAGATTAATATGAATCATTTAAATCTTAAGAAATTTGAGTTGACAAAGTGATTTGTACTCAATTTCTCACAAAGTGCTTCATGGATATGGCTATATGCATATAATAAAAACTATCTCATGTTATGGATCACTTGGATTTGTTCATGTTTAATTTTATTTCAGTTCTTTTTTTTTTGGATAACAAAAAGTTTAAGTGGAGTTAGACACCGGTATCCCACTAGGGTCAGGGAAGACTCTCCCAACTTCTTTGAGAATTTCTGGAAAGGATTACATATCACCCACCAACAAAGTCCTCACATCAGCTAACGAGATTTAAACTCACGCCCTTGAAGGATATGGACCAAACCCTTAGCCAATTGCCAACCTTTGTTGACTTATTTCAGTTCTTCTAGTTCTGGTTCTTGTGCTTGATATCTATGTTTAGAGGACAAGCCTTGTACCATAATGAATCGTTTTCAAAGGTAGAGGAACAATTGATGTTGACACTGATTTATTGCTTTTGCAAATCAAAAATTGAAATAATTAATTTCTTTGCATTTGGAGTTTTTTATTTTATTTCAAATGAATTCTTTTCAATTTTTTAATAAACTATTGTTCCATTTTCGTCAACAAAGTAGGGAACCCTCCACACGATAAGCATCAAATTGTTAATTGTTTATTATAAAAGTAAAACTGAATAGCCACCCTTATTGATAATTTATTCTTTTTTATATATAAAAAACTACTCAAGTTGTTTCTTGCTGACAATTTTAACTTCCATTAATTTATAGTCCACCGAGGACAATATCCTACTAGCAGAACAAGTTTTGAATGATGCAATGCTAATTGTTAATTTCTAATGGAACATTTTCCATTGCTATTTCATTTTCTGGGAAAGTACATAGGTAATTGTCCAAGACTCAGTGGTTACTTCTGTTGAGTCAGGTGGGATTGTCCTCTACTCTTGATGAGAGAAAAATGGCTAAAATTTGTCTTGAACAGCTCAGTTTTGTTCTGCAAATATATAAGTTTTGCTTTTGCTTTGTCCTTATCCTTTTCCCAAAATGTGAAAGTCTAACTTTACATGGTGCGATTACATTGCATAAAAAATGTTACAGACTTTTAATACTCAACTTGTAAATTTATATAAGAATAATAAATCTTACATGATCGTTGATTTGTTTGCATCTAACAGCTCGAATATCAAATAAATCAAAATTGTTAAATATATATAGGATCAACAATCAAGATTAAAAATATAACTTATACCGGTGTAAAATGATCCTAACTATATATATATATATATATATATATATATATATATATATATATATATATATATATATATATATATATAGTACTGATGATCTACGTTGCATCGACACTTTAAAAAACTAGAAGTGTCGTATACGACACTCTGACACGTTCCGACATCTATAATATTTGAAATTTCATTATATATCATAAAAAAGTTGATCGATATTTTACCAAACTGATGTAATAAAAATTAAAAATAGATACTGAATAAATCTCACTGAATGTATGAGAATTTTCAATTTAAAATATAATAATAAATATTTACATCTTATGTTTCATTGCAAAATTGATGGGTATTATAAGTTTAGTTTTATTTTTTTGTTAAATTATTGAATATTAAATATAATATACACTACATAAATTAAAAATATTATTTAATATCAAAATGTGTCCTAATATGTCAAAATCTAACGTTTTTTAGAATTAACATATCGGAGTGTCATGAGATGTCGTGTCCCGTATCGATGTCGATGCAACATAGCAGTGATGATTATAATAATTTCTAAAATCTTCAAATATAATGCTATATACTTTATCCCTAGAACCAAATTAAAGTATTCTTTATACTTACAAGTCAATGAATCTGCACTTTGTATAATGCAAGGAAATATCCTAGATAACCACAAGCAACATACCATACATACACCCTATAAATAGGCATAGACATTATATTCATGTAGCACCATATTTCATCAATCGCCTAGAGCTTCTCCTACCAATCATTACTATCACAAATCAGCTTCTCAAGATGTGTTGCAGACCCAGCTGCAGCATCGGATGCATGATCAACATAGGTTGTAATTCAATCTTTTTCCTTTGGTTCATGACCATCATTTTCTTTTCAGATATCTCCCCTTCACAGGTCAAGTTCTATGTAACTGAGGCCTCACTCATGCAGTTCAACCTCACCAACAACACCACCTTATATTACAACTTCAAGGTCAACATCACAGTGAGAAACCCCAACAAACACATCATAGTGTACTACAGAGTGATCAGAGCAATTGCTTGGTATAAAGATAATGACTTTGCTTATGTGAGCTTGACACCCTTTGACCAAGGCCACAAGAACACTAGCTTCCTTCAGCCTGTAGTGTTTGAAGGACACACTCTGATTAATCTCACAACTTGCCAACTTGGTGAGTATATTGAGGAGACACGTGCTGGGATTTACAACTTGGCTGTAAATTTGGATCTTACAATGAGAATGAAGTTTGGATGGTACAAGAGGAGTCGTTTTAATCCACCAATTGTGCAGTGTTCTTTGATAGTTCCTTTGATTTCCAATGGTAAATCAGCAACTCCTTTCAATGTCATCAAATGCAGCCCTTGTGATATTACTAATTGCGATAGGATCTGTTTACAAACTTTTTTTTGCAAATTACACTAAGTACGACCGGTTGTACACTGCATGATTAAAGTATGACCGATCGTACTTAGTGTAGTTTGTAAGAGTTTGTAAATAAAAAAATTTGTAAATATAACATGCCTCTTACTAATTAGTACAAAATCCTTTATACCCTATGATTACCTTAATATGCAAAGTAGTACATATAAAGCCATACATCATTATACTATCTAATATACAGGATGCTACATTTGTCTATATGCATATAATAATAACTCCTCCTCATGTTATGTATTACTTGGATTTGTTCCTGTTTTTATTTTGTTTCAATTTGTTGTTCAGTTCTCTAGTTCTAAGATGTTCTATTTTTGCATGAATAGCCACCCTGATTGGTAATTTATTCCTTATTATATATAAATAACTACTCAAGTTGTTTCTTGTTTCAATTTTTTTCTAGAATTGAATAGCCTGCCAGATGTTGACAATTTTAACTTCCACATATTGTCCATCGAGGACACTCCTACAAAGAGACAAGTTTTAACATATTTAAGGACGATTGCGACAATCATGAATCCAAATTTCTATTAATAAAATTCTTTTTTAAATAATACTACATATACACATCATTTTGTATTTACTATAATTCATTTAATTAAGGGGAAAATATGTGTCATTTTAAATGACACCTTACATCATTTCACTATCACAAAAAGGTGAGACTCATATTTTTAAAACTTTTTCCCTCCACTTTCTCTTTCATGATTTATCTCTTTCTCTCGTTTAAAATGACACAACTTTATGTCCTTTAAAATGATACACACTTTTCTCTTTAATTAAATATTTTATCCATGCACATAAACTTCAATTCTGTCGCTTTATACAGACATGGAGTGATGAAAGAAGAATGGAAATACGACTAAAATTTTCTTTTTAAAAGCCTTAGTACCGCTTATATAATAAACAAATCATGACATCTAGCAAGATTATAAATGCATAAGCCTCGGGACTTACTCTTATTTCTACTCTTCCTATATAATATTTAAGATATTATGATAAAATATCATCCTCAATTATGTTAAGATGCAAAAAGTCCCCATTCTATAATTATTAAAAATTGATTCTCCAATTCATTCATTCATTCATTCTTGACTCGTTAATATTCATTCATTCTCCAAGGCATTACCTTAAATTTTCATAGGAAAAGCTAAAGCATAATAATATCCATATGCAAAGTCATTAGGATTGGTCTAGTGTAACGAATTTTGATAATCTGCATGAGATCATAACTTCAAATCTCAGTACCACCATTATATATTGAAGGATCTCCTACTCATAGAGTAGAAAAACAACAAGAAAAAAGTTTTGATGATGCCAAAGTTTAGAAGATCTCAAATTGAAGATGTGAAGCAAAGTATTTGGTTAGGTTTTTAGATTTCTTTATAACACATTTTTTATACCACTAAGTATCATTCTAAGCTCCAATGCATAACATACATTTAATTCATTTCATATTGAGAGTTTTGAGTATTTTAAAAATTGGATTTAAAAGTTGAAAGTTGTTGCTCGTTATTTATCTCGCCATAGCAAGTTATTTTAGCAAGTTTAAGGGGTCAGCTCGTTGGAACCCTCGCTATAGCGAGATGATGTTTTTAGCTCGCTGCTCAGCTCACTATAACGAGTAGGGTTGTGACTCTTTTAAAACACATTTCTCAGTTCTTTCCTCACTCGCTTTTTTAGAAATCACTCCCTCTTTTCGAAGAAAGCCTCTCTCTTTAAAGTTTCCAAAAAACCTTCTTTCAAGAACCATCTTCATCTTCCAAAAATTGAATCATTGAAGTTCCTTTTAAGATCTATGAGTGTGTGATAGTGAATCTCTTATTCTAATCATCTTCCACCCAAAAAATCCCCTAATCTTTTCATCAACAATCTTGTTAGCAAGAACCCTAAACACTTGGTGTTCTTGTTGCTCCTTTGCTCGATTTTTTAGTGTGCTTGGGGCAATATGAAATCATTTCACCATTCTTCAAGATTGAAGCATTTGAAGCAAGTTTCATGGTACAAAAGTTGAAGAGCCCTATCACACCAATATGTTTTTTCGCTGAAAATTGAGATTCTTTGATACAATAATTTTGGGACTTTATTATGGTATATTCTGAAAAACTCAAACTCCTCTATTATTCATTGTTTTGAAATTTTGAGGATTCTTGAGTAACCATTTCAAACATGATTTTTGGGATTTTTAGCGGTATATTCTTGAAACTTATAATTCTTGGTTTGTGTACTGTTTTAGTGATTTTCTTGTGAGATATCCAAGTTCCTTGATGCATTAATTTTAAAGATTTTGATACATACATCATTATCTTGAATCTTTGCATTTGACATATATTTTTAGAGCTTGATTTGTGCTTAATGTATATGTCTAGTGTGATAGGACACTGTAATTTTGGATATTATGTTTTGTGATAAATCTTAATATTGTATTATGTATTAAAGTGGTGTGTCTATGTGTGTGAGAATTCTGTCCTAGGTGTGTTGGGTGCAACCAAGAGGGTTGGTGATCTTTTGTTTGGCTTGAGAGTGTCTCTCAAGACTTGCAGCATCAAGAATCCACTAGAGAGTATAGAGTTCTTGTGTGAGAGAAGTTAGTGAACTCCTAGGTTCGGCTTGAGAGGATTCTTGGAGCTTCGAGCAATGTAGGCACTAGGATAGTTTTTGGTATTTTTATTAATTGTGTGTGAGATGCGTATTTGTATAACATTATTTTTGTGATCAATAAAATATCTACAAGTACTTCAGTCTGGACGTAGCATCCCATTGCACTAAGGGGCGTGAACCAGGATATATCGTGTGTCTTTCTCTCTAATTTGATTTCTTAATTTTCTGCATAGAGATTGAAAGTAACACTGGTTCTGATTTAAACTGCTATAGATGTTTACTATTGAATTAAAAAGTGTCGTAATAGTTTTATGGTATTATAATTGTGTTGCAACAGGTTTAACAATTCTGTTATGTTGTATTAAAAGTGTCGTAATAGGTTTACTTGTTCTGATATAAGTGTTGTAACACAAACTGATTTTTGATTATTGGACGTAAGTTATTTTACTTTTTGTGTAAGAAAGTTTGTAGCTACGTATATAATTACGAAATTCATTTTTGACATATAGGGACCTTGAGTAAAATAGTAACACTTGTATGTTTGTGTGATTGATAACTTGATTGAAAATTGCAAAATAAGTTAAAGACTGTCAATCTAATTGATTAGGTGTGTTACTTGAACTCATTAATTCAACTTTGTCTAGGCTATTCAAATTTAAATATCTATGTGTAAAAAGATTTTAAAAAAGTTAGAACACCTAAATTCTCGTATACGGCTCTATGGGGGGTTCATTGGTTTACCTATCTCAATAAAGTCTATGACTGGTTTGAAGAACGTCGTCGATTGCCGACAATATAACTAGTAAATATATTCCTCCTCATGTCAATATATTTTATTGTTTAGGGGGAATTACACTTACTTGTTCAAGGCCCTGCACGCTTTACGTCTGGAGGATTTGCGAATACCTAATTCTTATATTAAAACGCTCCAAGGTCCGCCTCACGGTATCCAAGTTGAAAGAGATAAATTGAACAAATATGGCCGCCCCTATTGGGATGTGGATATGTAACTGCTCAAGACATCATTTTACCACCTTCTGTAGAACTCGTTCATAATACACAACATATAGCTAACATAACAGAACCAATCCATTTGTATATTGGATTAAAAATGGATTAAAAATTGATAGGAATCGCGGATATCGTATATTTCAAGACAGAAGTTATACTATAGATGCTGTATTCACTATTCATGCCTGTACCCCACCCCACCAACATATATATATATATAAGACTACAGGTTAAACAATATATAATTGTATATACTCTTGTATCTGGTCTCATTTCATTAGGTCACTCTTTGATTGCGTGTTATTTGTCAATGGCAAGAAATCATTCATGGAACAATCTTTCAGAGCTGGGACAGACAGTGCCTGTTCACTTGCATCTAAAAATACTGGGAATTTGGGCAGAGTATAGTGAGACTAATAGAGATCCAATATTGGTGACATATAAACTAATGAAAGTTGTTCCTCAAAGAAAATAAATGGAGCAGACAAATCTAAAATGAAGGCAAATGAGTGCCACTGGAAGTCTAACATTGGTCTAGAATATTAATAAGGCAAACTCTACTACTGCTTATTACAACTTGATCTTACATGGGAATCCCATATCTTTTGTACAAGTTTGCACGTTTAAGTTCTTCCATTAGTAGATGTGCCACTGAATTGTATCCCATTTCCCGAGCTTCAGTTCATTCAGCCAAAGAAAAGAAGTAAGAAAAACGTACAAGACTCACTACAAAGACATTTGCAATCAAATAGCAATCACAACATAACAAGAAAAATGAAGTGACAACAGAAAGACTAACCTCTATATATTGCTATTCCAGTTGGAGGAATCTTTCGTTTCCTCAGGCATATTGAGCTACATATGAATTAAGGTAAAAAGAAAATAGTATCTTGAATCAGATCTAAAAAATCCTCTTTAAGGAATTCTATAAACAATCAATGCATGACTATTTACAGTATCCAAACCCAAAAACTTAAGCAGGTGCTAAAATTTAATGGCACTACCTGTTACATATCCAGTAAGGTTTTATTCCTTTCTCTTCTATGCAATGTGGGCACATCCATCCCTTGTTCTCTCTCACCTCCTCTATTTCTGAAACAGGACCAAATTGAACAGTTTCAAATTATCAATGTGAGCAATTTTTAATAAGTGTTGCTCTATTATAGAATATCACAATTGAGTTCAAAGCACAATTTATGATTTTCTGAAGAAACAAATTTTAGAACATAAGATAGTTTACCTCTGCTGTATTTAAAAAAATGAAAAATAAGCCATCGTTTTATAACAAATCTGACCACAAGGTGCAGGGAACAACCAAGATTATATCACTTAAATATATCTTCACTTAAATATATCTAACATCAAATACATGTGAGACCATGCTCTTAAGATTGCCTGGGGAGGGAGCTGATCTTAATTGATGCAAAAGCTGACTCAAGATTAATGCAATTTTAATTTGTTTAGTGCCTTATCTTTGGCTTAACTATTTCTCCTTACCTTCGCCGTACCGAACCTCGAGACAGGCTCTGCAAAAAACACCAGTGCTAGAGTGACAGACTGAACAATCAGTCTTTCCTGTTAGGAATGAAACTGTTAAAACATTGTGGAACTAGTGCAGAAAGAATGTAAAATAAGACACCATTCTAAATCTGACCCAGGCATGGTTCTTTCACATCAAAATTGCCACATCTTTTGCAGTCTTCTTCGCCACACAATTTCTTTTGCCTGCATTTTGTGTTTTGCAATGCAATGTCATCATCACTTATACCAAACACAATCACACACACACACACCACTTATTCCAAATACAATGCACTTGTTGTAACGACCTATATTAGGGAGTAGTTAGTTAAGGGTATTAATAAGTGGCCCAAGTTAGTCGTAACTAATGTATCAGGCAGTTAGGCTTGTAATTAGGTGATTATTTAGTTAGGCCTTAAGGGGAGAGGTTTAGCCTGATGTATAAATGGAATGCTCTAACTGTAGAAGGGGGCTTTTTGAAAAAAAATAAAAATAAAAATTGAATTCGGTTCAGAGTTTCTTAAAGGGAGGGGACTGCCTCTTTAGAAGAGGTTTTCCTCTTGTAATATCTTCTGTAATACCATTAATAAAATCATCTTTCTTCCATTTTCGTCTTCTGATATAATATTGACCAGATATGATACATGCCAAATTTCAGAGAAATGACCAAACACATTATCATCATTTTGAAAGTGTAGCTTCTATGAAGCACAAACTGCGAACCTTCTACCTCCAATAACAAACTTTGTGACCAAACAAAACTGTAAAGCAACAATTTCTACCCAACAACTCAAGCTATTAAATGATGAGCCTTCAATGGTTTTATATTATATCTCTCTAACACACTTCTTAGCAAGAGTTCTTTGGGCTTGAAGTGTGGATATCACACAGACCTATTTTTTTGGTTCTACCTTGTACTGACTTAATTCCACTAGAAAGTGAGTGGCGATAAGGATCGAATTCGTGATCCTGTGGTTACGGAGGCTCTGATACCATAATAAGCAACCATCTCACCCAACAGTTCAAGTCATTAAGTGATGTGCCTTTAATGGTTTTATATTACATCTCTCTAATAAAAACTAAAATATTAAATTAAACTCTGGTTTTTAATGGGGGGAGAGTGAGCTAGAGAATGGACCTGCAAAAATGGCAGCATATCCCAAGAACTGGATTGTAGATACTACCTCTGCCCTTGCTATTGCAGCGCAGAGCAGAACTCTCTGCTGAAATCTGAAGATCTACACCTCTCAATTTAACAAGCGGTGCATTAGCAGGCCTCTTCTCCTCTTCTTCACCTTCACATAAAGTCACCTTCTCTGTCACAAAATGCAGCAAACCATCACAATCCACACCAAAATCAACAAAAAACAAGCAGTACTTGAAAGAAAGAATAAAAAAGTCACTTGGTCTTCCAAATATACTCACATCGTCTCTCTCTCTCTCTCTCTCTCTCTCTCTCTCACACACACACACACACAAACATATGTTCCTTCATTTATAAATATATCATGTTAGTTATTCAAAAAATAGATAGGGATGTCAAATTAATACCTAAAATAGAGAAAACTCATTACATTAATTTTTAAATGGAGGCCCAATGTAGACAAATGTCATGTCATAAATTTTATACGAGAATCAAAATGACTATTTAATAATAATAATAATAATAAGGCATGGTGAGAAACTTTTTTTTTAAATCCATTTTTATAGGCTACCAAACAGAGGAGCAAGGAGAAAAATAAAAAAATTGAGGTGAAAACCTTGTTTTGGGGACAATGGGTGGGTGGAACTGTCTCTCAAAGGGTGTGAGCAAGGCGGTGGAAGGTGGTTGGCGGTGGAGGTGGCGGTGATTCGCTGGGAGCGGCGCAAGGGGGTGAGACCGTAGACCCTTTTGTTGCGAGGTTTCTTGCGTTGAGCAGAGGCTTGTCGAAGCTGAGAAATGCTATTCAGAACACCCAGAGACTCCAAACGAGCCTGCACAATACAATTGCATTCATTTCATTCATTCACATCAACACAACACAAAAGAACCCATCAAAGAGAGAGAGAGGGGGGATAGATAGATACCTGATTCTCTAACATGCGAGCGTTTCTGAGGGCTTCATACTCAGATTTTGCTCTCGCTCTCACTCTCACCATCTTAATGCTCTCTTTCTCTTCTTCTAAACTTCTTAGATTTCACCCCCAAAAAACAATCTAACATTAATAAACTTCGTACATTCGAACAACATCCTATGATAATGGGAAAAATGCTGACATAATTCACATGTTAATCTTAAACTAAACTAGGACTATCAATTAATATTTTTTTCTTGTGTAAAAATAGAAAAGATGACCACGTTTACAGTTATTTGTGAATGACTATTTTAATTTTTTTTTAATTTCCACAAAAAATAAAACCTTTTTTTTACATTTTTATCCTAAATTAAATTAATCTAAACAAGCAAGAAGATTTTCTTGAACAGGAATAATTGCCAAGGGAAATTATTGACGAAGAGGTAATTTGGTAGAACTGTTAAAAACTGTTTAATCAGCAGAGTTTTCCACTGTAAAGTGGTTTTCTACCTTTGGGGATTTGGGAAGAGTGTAGTTAGACTGGTATAGCTTCGAGTATCCAGAACAGGTTACATATACATCTATGAAAGTTGTTCCTCATAAAGAAAACAAATGGGGAAGACAAATCTAAAATAAAGGCAAATTCTACCAAGTTAGAAATTATTTGCTGATTACATCTTGATCTTGGTTGGGATTCTCCTATCTTTTGTACTTGTTTCCACCTTTAGAATTTTCTGAAGATACAAACTTTAGGTGTAAGATAAATTAATTCTTGCTGTCTTAAAAAGAACGAAAGGAAACTACTATTTTATAACAAATATGATCTCTAAGTACAGGTATGAGGAGAGTTCACTTAATGTGTATCATCAAATAAATGTGACACCAAGAATTTTTATTAATGCAATTTCACCCAATTTAGTTGCCTTATCTTTAGCTTAACTACGTGTTACTTTAGCTGTTTGGTTTGGGTGATGGAGATGATGTTGTTTCGGGTGTAGTATGTTAATGTGATGTTGATTTACAAAATAAAGGTATAAATCTATGTTCACTAAAGAGTCATAGTGAGTAGTGTCACGGAAGAAGGTTGAGAATCAAGGGAAATATTGTGTTCGGCATGGTGGCTCTGTGTAGAGAGAATTTAGTAGGGTATCAGCTCTATAATGGATGTGTAAAATATATCTCCTTAATGGCTAAAGAGAGGTATGAATAGGTGGACAAGATTCCTTAATGATAAGTTAAAGAATTAGCCATATTCTTTTTGTCCTTATAGGTATCATTAGCTATGAGGCAAATACACTCACACTATGCATTGGCAGTGCTGAGCAGAACTCTCTGCTGAAATCTGAAGTTCTAGATCTCTCAATTTAACAAGCGGTGCATTGGCAGGCCTCTTCTTCTCTTCTTCCCCTTCACATGAAGTCACCTTCTCTGTCACAAAAACCCTCTTCTCTTCTTCCCCTTCACATGAAGTCACCTTCTCTGTCACAAAAATGCAGCAAACCATCACAATCCACACCAAAATCAACAAAAAACAAGCAGTGCTTGAAAGAAAGACTAATATACATGCATAGTCTCTCTCTCTCTCTCTCACACACACACACATATATATGTTCCTTCATTTACAAATATATCATGTTACTTATTCAAAAAATAGATAAGGATGTCAAATTAATCCTTATTATAGAGAAAACTCATTACATTAATTTTTAAATGGAGGACCAATGTAGACAAATGTCATGTCATTTATATTATTGGAGAATCAAAATGAGTGTTTAATAATAATAATAATAATAAGGCATGGTGAGAAACTTTTTTTTTTTTAAATACATTTTTCCCCCCATTATTTCGTGGCTACCAAACAGAGAGAAAAGAAGAAAAAAAAAAGAAAAAAAAATTGAGGTGAAAACCTTGTTTTGGGGACAATGGGTGGGTGGAACTGTCTCTCAAAGGGTGTGAGCAAGGCGGTGGAAGGTGGTTGGCGGTGGCCGTGGCGGTGGCGGCGGTGATTCGCTGGGAGCGGCGCAAGGGGGTGAGACCGTAAACCCTTTTGTTGCGAGGTTTCTTGCGTTGAGCAGAGGCTTGTCGAAGCTGAGAAATGCTATTCAGAACACCCAGAGACTCCAAACGAGCCTGCACAATACAATTCCATTCACTCATTCATTCACAACAACTCAACACAAAAGAACCCATCAAAGAGAGAGAGAGAGAGAGAGAGAGAGAGAGGGATACCTGATTCTCTAACAAGCGAGCGTCTCTGAGAGCTTCATACTCAGATTTTGCTCTCGCTGATGATCTCAACCTTACCATCTTAATGCTCTCTTTCTCTTCTTCTAAGCTTCTTCGATTTCACCCCAAAAAAAACAATGTAACGTTAATAAACTCCGTACATTCGAACAACATCGTATGATAACGAGGGAAAGCAGAGGTTAAAGTTACCTCTTGCTATTAAATTAATGTTAAAAAAATATATATAATGTTATTTTAGACAACTTTATCCAATGTTCATCGAAACGACGTGTTTTGAGGTTGAAAAATTAAAATGATAAAGACTATTATAACCTTAAAATAAATTAAAATTATAAAAATACCATGATTTTCGTTCCAAAACGATGTGATTTTGATGAACATTAAATAAAGTTATCTAAAATAACTTTAGAAAAAACAAACCTTTAATTAATTATAGTTGATTTTAGTGAATATAATTTATTAGATTATATTTATCAATTAATTATTAAATTTAAATAAATTATAATTGTTAAATTAATAAAAATTAATTTAATAATAAGAATTGTAAAAAAATTTAAGTAATAACTATAAGGGTTCGTTTTTTTTGTGATCAATATAAATAATTTATTTACGTTGAGCCTAAAACGAAATCGTTTTAAGACAGAAATTAATATATTTTTGTAATTATAATTTATTTTAAGGTTATAATAGTCTTTTCATTATAATTTTTTAATTTTTAACTTAAAACAACATTATTTTAAGAGCGAAAGTAACTGATCTAGTTTCTATATAGAAATATTAAAACCAAACTATAACCTCAATTTCTTTTTATGGACAAGACGTAGGTGCATCGAGTGCACAGAAATTTTTTTCCAGATTTAAGATGGCGTCTTGTGGACGACTATTTTAAATTTTTTTTTATTTCCACAAAATAAAAAACATTTTTTAATCTTTTTTATCCTAAAATAAATTAATTTAAACAAGCAAACGATCTTCTTAAACCGGAATAATTGCAGAGGGAAATTATTGACCAAATAGGTAATTTGATAGAACTGTTATTCTTCTTGTTGTTCTTTGTTATTAAAGTGGTTTTCTACTCTCTCTCTCTTGTTATTATTCATGTTCATGTTGTATATAGTAGAAGTAGTATAAAGGATTTAATCCCACGTCATGTATTTTAGGTAGTATATACATAGTAGTTTATATATAATATAGTTTCCGTTATGCTATTTTGACACACGAATTTATTCAATGTTACTTTCGTCTCTTGTTACTCTAAATGGTAACAAAGCCTAACAAGAGGAACACTAATTTGCATCTTTTCTCCGAAAACCCATTATTTATCGATCTAAATTTTTACTGTTATTGTGTCATTTATCAGTTTCTAGATCCCCTTTTTTCTGCCCCAACAGTTCTTGTTTTGTTATTCGTGATTTGTAGTCGTCGATTGCAGCACTGACGTTGTTCATCGACGGCCGAACCTTTTTTTGATGACCTTTTCCGACGAAACAGGTGTCGTTCGAACCATTTCACCAAGGCGGTCTCATCTATCCAAGTTTCAGGTTCAAATCTGCAGGGACACGCCCTTGTGTGCTTGAGAAAGCTTTGCTACCTCCGCCTCTATTGCCGACACGTGGCGGTATGTAGAGGGTCATTCCCAATCGCGATTTTTTGAGTTTTTCCCCCCTCTCTACGATAGTTCCAGATCTTCCTCATATTGATGTTTAGAGTTCGTTTTGGTTTCCGCTCATATCTCCTCCCATTCTGATTAGTTTTGTGATGTATTTTGGTTGATTTCTGATTTCATTTTTTGTGACCAATGGATACTCCTATCTCTGCTACTTCTCATGAGACTCTGGCGTCCTCCAAGTCGGATCCACCTATATTTATCCATTATATTCTTGTTCCGCCAAGTGTGGATAAGTTGGATGGCTCGAATTATGACTCTTGGTCTTCATATCTCCAATTTTAGTTGGATAAGCAGAATTATACATCTCATCTCACTACCAAGGTTGAATATGTTGCGGTTGCTGAACGCACATGCTGAAAAATGATTGATGCTCAATTGTGCAGTCTCATCAAGTCCACTCTTCACCCCTCTATTAAGCAGATATTTCGACTTGCAAATACTTGTGAGGCTATTTGGCGTCAGGCAAAGGCCTTGTACACCAATGACACGTAGCGGCTCTATGGTGTGTGTCAGAAGCTGATGTCTACCTTTACTCCTCGTAATTCTGATTGTCCTATATATGAGTACTTAGGGAAAGCTCAAAGTTTACTTCATGGTCCCAATGAACTACTGCCTTTTACTGGTGATGTTGCTAAGGAGTGGGAACAACGTAATAATCTTTTTATGTTGTTGATTCTATATGGTTTACCTCCACATTTGTATGCCAATCGGAATTAGATTTTGGGTTCTTCTACTGTTCCTACATTGGATTTTGTGTTGTCTACTTTGCTTAAGATTCCACTTAAGCTCTCTACTGTTATGTCCTATGTCTCTTCGGTTGACTCTTTTGACTCTTGTACCTTTGTTGCCCAAGGCTCTGGTTGTGTACATAAACCCTCTAAGGGTCATTTACTTTGCACACATCATTATCAAACCAATCATACGATTGACTGTTGTTGGAAGCTCCATGGCAAGTCACCTCAACCTCCTCGAATTGATCATGTTGCTTAGGCTCCTTCCATTGATCCTAATCCAGGGTTTTCTTCTGTAGCATAGCCTCATGTAGCTCTTCTTAATGAATTTGTTACTTGGTGGTCTAAGAAGCAAGCATCTAGTTCTACAGCTTCTATTGCTCTATCTGGCAATTCTTTTGTTGGGATCTCTCAGTTACAATCTATAGGCCCTTGGACTCTTGATTCTGGGGCTTCTGATCACATTTATGGTAATAAGTCTTTATTCACCTTTCTTTGTACTACCGGTTCATTCCTTACTATTACTATGGCAAATGGGTCTTTGGTCCAATCCCGTGGGATTGACACAGTTCTTCTCTTCCTCTCTTTATCTCTTGATCATGTTCTCTATGTTCTTGATTCCCCTTTTAACTTACTTTCCATTAGATGTTTGACTAAATCCATTGATTCTGTGGTTTCCTTCGCTAAAGCTTATGTCATTTTATAGGATCGAAATTAGGGAAAGGTGATTACTAGATGATGTGAGTCTCACGGTCTCTATCAAATTTTCCCTTATTCTTCAACTTGCTTTAATGTGGATTCTACCCTCACTATCCATGCTCGTTTGGTCATCCAAGTATTGCCAAGCTTCAGAAGATGATGCCTCATTTATCGTCTCTTTCTAGTTTACATTGTGAGTCATGTCAATTTGGAAAACATACTCGTAGTACGTTCCAATGTCGTTTTAGTCATTGAGCTTTGTCCTCTTTTTCTTTGGTCCATTCTAATGTTTGGGGCTCGAGTCGTCATCCTTCTTCTTTGGGGTTTAAGTATTTTGTTATATTTATTGATGATTATTCTAGCTGTACTTGGTTATTTTTAGTGAAATATCATTATGAGTTATTCTCTGTTTTTCAGTTATTCTTAATGAAATTAAAACTCAGTTTGATGTTCCTATTTGTACTTTTCATAGTGATAATGCCCGTGAGTATTTATCTCATCAATTTCAATAATTATTTTCTTCTCATGGCATTCTTTATCAAACATCTTGTCCTCATACACCTCAACAAAATGGTGTACCCGAGCGCAAGAACCGTCACCTTATTAAGACTCCTCGTGCATTTTAATTGATGGCAATGTTCCATACAAATTTTGGGGTGATGTTATCTTTACTTTATGCCATCTCATTAATCGAATTCTTTCTTCTGTTCTTCATCACCAGGTGCCTCACTCTGTTTTGTTCCCTCATCAACTTTTATATCCTTTGGCCCCATATGACTTTGATACTACGTGTTTTGTTCATCATCTCAGTTCTGGCTTGGATAAACCAGCTCCCTCGTCTCATAAATACGCTTTTCAGGGCTATCCTTCATCTAAAATGGGGTACTGGTGCTACTCTCTGATTCTACGTCAATATTTTATCTCTGCCGATGTTTCCTTCTTTAAATCAGTTCCATTTTTTGGCTCTGTTTCTGATCTTGAGGACTCTGGTTCTATTTTGTTAACTCTCCTTGTTGCCTTCTTTGACTACCTTCTTCCTTCACCGGTCCGGGTGTCTGACTCTCCTTCGGTCACCTCGTCTCCAGTTGAGTTCAAACCTGTTTCCTTACTTCCGGTTTCTCCATATGTTTCTATGGGCTCACATCCTACTGTATGTTCTCCCTCAGCTTCGATCCCACCTTCGACTAGTGACTTTTCCATCTCTTTACGTAAAGGTACCCATGATACCCTCCTTCCGGCCAGGTATTCAGTTAATATTTGCTACCATCGTCTTTCTCCATTATATTTTGCATTTCTTTCTTCTTTGTCTTCTGTGTTTATTCCTAAGACTACAGGTGAAGCTCTTCACATTCTGGAGACATACTATGATTGATGAGGTATGTGCTCTTCAGCATAATGGCATATAGGATCTGGTTCCTCTTCCTTCTAGAAAGTTGATTGTTGGCTGTCGGTGGATTTATGCTGTAAAGGTTGGTCCTGATGGAAAAGTGTATCATCTTAAAGCTCGCTTGGTGGCGAAGGGATTCACTTAGGTATTTGGACTGGATTATGGTGACATTTTTTTCCCTGTGGTGAAGATGTCTTCTGTTTGCCTCTTCATTGCCATGGTTGTTATCCACCACTGGCCTCTTTATCAACTTGATATTAAGAATGTTTTTCTTCGTGGTGATATTGTTGAGGAAGTTTATATGGAGCAACCTCCTGGGTTTGTTTCTCAAGGGGTGTTGGGTCTTGTTTGTCGTCTCCGTAAGTTTCTATATAGTCTTAAGCAATCTCCACAAGCTTGGTTTGGCAGATTTAGCACTGTTGTTCAAAAATTTGGTATGACTCGGAGTGAGGCTAATAATTCCCTCTTTTATCGTCATTCAACTTTCGGGTCTATCTACTTGGTGATGTATGTTGATGATATTGTATTCATAGATAGTGATACTCATAGGATTACTCAGTTGAAGCAACACTTATGTCATCATTTTTACACCAAGGATAATGAGAAACTTCGATATTTCTTGGGAATCGAGGTGGCCCAATCTAAAGATGGAATTATGATATCTCAGAGGAAATATGCTCTGAATATTTTTTGAAGAGATTGTTTTGTTGAATTCTAAGTCTGTTGATACCCCTATGGATCCAAATGTCAAGCTTCTACCAAATCAGAGGGAGCCTTTTTCAGATCCTGAAAGGTATAGAAGATTGGTTAGAAAGCTGAAGTACCCCACAGTCACTCAGCCTGACTTTTCATTTGCAATTAGTGTGGTAAGTCAGTTTCTTAATTCGTCATGTCAAGAACACTGGAATGTCGTCATTCGTATTCTCAAGTATATCAAGGCATCTCTAGGAAAAGGTCTTGAATATAAAGATAAAGGTCATGTTAAAGTTATCGGATACTCTGCTGCTGATTGGACAGGTTGTCCTAGTGATAGGAGATCTACTACTGGATATTGTGTCTTCGTTGGAGGCAACTTGGTTTTCTAGAAAAGTAAAAAGCATAATGTAATTGTCAGATCAAGTGCAGAAGCAAAGTATCGCTCCGTGGCTATTACTATTTGCGAGCTCATTTGGCTAAAGCAACTTCTTGGAGAGCTCAAGTTTGGAGACACTGAACCAGCAACTCTCATTTGTGATAACCAAGCAACACTACATATTTCTTCCAATCTAGTGTTTCATGAAAGAACCAAGCATATTGAGATAGATTGTCACTTTGTTTCAGAAAAGGTCATTTCTATGAAATTATGGCCAGTTTTGTACCTCTAATGATCAATTAGAGATGTATTTACTAAGTCTTTGAGTGGTCCTCAAATAGAGTATATATGTAACAATCTCGGTGCTTATAATTAATACGCTCCAGATTAAGGAGGAGTGTTGTATATAATAGAAGTAGTATAAGGGACTTAGTCCCACATCATGTATATATTTCAAGTTGTATGTACACAATAGCTTTATATATAATATAGTCTTCGTTGTGCTATTTTGACACACAGATTTATTCAATATTACTTTCGTCTCTTGTTTCTCTGCACTTCTATTTTTATCTCTATTGCTTTGATTTTAGGTTCCCTTGCTATTGTTTGTTTGGTTTTTTCTCCTTCCTTTGTTGGGGCTTTGCCCCTCCCCTGTACCCAAAAAAAAAAAATTTATCCAAAACTGGTTAAATAGACATCAATGAATGCTCCTCATAGAGAAAACAAATGGGGCAGATAAATCTAAAATAAAGGCAAACGAGTGCCCCTCGTAGTCTAAATTTGGTCTTGAATTTACCATGTTAGAAAACAATTACTGATTACATCTTGATCTTGCATGGATTCTCTTATCTTTTGTACTAGTTTCCAAATTTAAGTTCTTCCTTTAAAATTTTCTGAAGACACTCTGCGGAGCATCTATCTATCAAGGTTCAATATGGTGAAAGAGAGTAACAAGGAGTTAAGCCAAAGATAAGGCAACAAAATAGTGTGAAATTGCATTACTAAAAATTCTTGGTGTCACATTTATTTGATGATACACGTTAAGCGAGCTCTCCTTATACCTGCACCTTTCTTTTCGTTATTTTTAAGACAGCAGAGTTAAACTATCTTACACCTAAATATAGCGATGAATTAGAACTAGAAGAACTGACCAACAAACTGAAAAAAAATGAGCAAATCCAAGTGATACATACCATGAGGTGTTTATTTTATTGTATGATATATATTAGCACCAGATAGAATTGTGTACTATAGTAGATTGAGGTAATTAATTGGGAAATTGTGTACCAATTCAGTTTGTCAACTTGGATTTCGTAGTGTAATCACTCAATTTTGTCCTCACATGAAAATAAAAATAAAACATGGACCATTCATTTTGGGACATATTTGTTATTATTACTATTTTATATATAAAATATATATATAAATATAAAATAAAAGGAAAGTAAAAAGGAAGATAAAAAAATATAAAAAGAAAAAGAAAAATAGGCTTCTTAATGACAAAGAAACATTTAAGGGGAGGTCGGTTCTCAAACCACATACCCATCACTCATTATTACTTTGTTAATCATCCCACGTGATGTCAATGTTGTGCAACACAATAGCTGTGTCAGTTTTGAGAAACAGAAGAGCAGAGATAGAGTAGAGTGAGTTGCAGGGTTCATCTAAAAAAAAAAATATTTTTTTGAAGAGCAGAAAAAGTTACACCGCCAAACCCATGGTATAAAAAGGGTTCATACTAAGAGAGTAAAAAAGGAGGGAATCAACTACATGCATTAGGTGAGGCACAAATACAACAAAATCACACACACTGATTAAGAGAGAAAGCTGGAGCTTGATAAAAAAAACCAATTCTGGTCAAAAAATAACATGCTATCAGCAGCCATCGTGGTGAGTCGTCAACCGTTTGCTGCCACCTAGACTCCACCCACCGTCGTGCACAACCCCAATCCGCGAGTCGCCCATGTTAAAGGCACCTCTCAGTTTTGTGGAATAATTCCCTTTAGTTATTGTGCACTCTCCCAGGTTAGTGTGCAAATTTAACTTTTAGCTTATGTTGTGTTGATACTTTAGATTTTAAATATCTTATGACTGTTTATCGCTATGCTTTCAATTGACTATCTTTTATTTTTTGACCGAATACATCAGTGCACCAAAATAAAATGGACTGGACAAAGATAAAAATAATAGTAAAGTGAAGTGCACATATGGTAAAACTCCTCACATATTATCGTTTTCCATGAATCCATTGGTTTTGGTTTTATATCTTTATCATTTGTAAACGACTTTGAGGTGTACGTAGCTTTACATGAAGACTAAAAAAGATTGGGCACCATTATCACTGTTAGCACGTTTGGTGTATTCTTGGAATAGAATAAAATAATGTTCAAAAAATGCAAAAAGCAATAAAAAATATTTGATGAAAAGCATTGTCAAACCAATGTCTGTAGGTTTAGTACGTAGTAACCATTGCATTTGTTATAATTTTATTTGGAAAAAAACTGAAATCCTTCTTGAATTGAGAGTAAATGGTTTTTCTCTCTGATGATGGTTATCAATATATTTTTTAGAATCATTTCGACTGGGACAGTCCGGTGATTTTAATCCGTTTAGTAGTAATAAACAAGTAAAAAAAAATCATAATTTTTATTTAAAATTATTGATTTTGGTTTCATTAAAAAAGATAAAAATTAATTTTTTTTATTAATTGAAATGGGAGTCAGCTGAGCCGTGACGACTTGTTAACCCCACACATTTTGTTTTGACTCATTTTTGCCGTGACGGCTTGGTGATTCAAAATTAAATCAAATTTATCATAAAATGTACGATAACAAAATTAATAATATGAATATTATTATTCTTTTAAAAGAAAGGATTAGCTGAGTTAAGACAGTTTGTTAATCCTGCAATTATCATTTCGGATTATTTTAACTGCGACAGTTTGATATTCCGAAACCATCAAATCCAAAACCTTCAAATTATTTGTTTCTAAAACTACTTTCAAAATTAAAATCAATCAACACACAAATATTTTCTACAGAACGACGTAGCTTTGAGTTCCCTATTGTACCGAGGGATACGTCGGAGCAGGACTCATCCCGTCAAGCACAAAAATAAAATTTCAAAATTAGTTTTCTTTTCCAACGATCAATTTTATTTATTTAGGGTGAAATAAATATTTAAAATATTATCAATAATTTGCACAATTAATATAAGGTAACCGTTTTTAAAGGACGGTGTAGGGCGCTAATACCTTCCCTACTCGTAATCGACTCCCGAATCCATTTCTTTTGTTTTCAAAGACCAGTTGTCTTTAAAAAAGGTTTTTCCAATGTTTTCCTAAATAAACTTTGGTGGCGACTCCATTGATTTAACCATTCAATATTCTTGCGCCGTCACGTCGCGATACGGTTGCGACAGCTGGCGACTCCACTGGGGACTTTTCAGAGAGTCAAGCCTATTTTATTAATTGTGCAAATTATTCATAAATTTTATTTATTTTGTTTCACCCATCTTTTTTGTATTCTTTTATATCTTTTGAATAAGTGTCATTATTGAACATTATGTGTTGATGGTATATATAGTTGCATAAAGTATGTATCTTGTTTGACTTTAACCTCAGGGTAGACGATTTTTGCTCTGTATATATCCGGCCTTGTTATTGTTTTGCAGCCTTGAGACTTTAGTTATTTTAGGATGTACATGTATGTATACTCCTAGCACACAACTCACACACGCTTACGAGTGGGGCCCTATACCCGGGTCTGAGTGAACTTAAGATAGAAAGGAGGTTGTGTAGTGGTATCCATTTTGGATGTACATCCTGTTTGGTTATCATGAAAGCCTCATCTAGAGCGTGACTATTTCGGGATTATAGCCGTTTTGGACGTACGTCCTGTTTGACTATGTTTTCGAAATAAGATCTTAGCTCTAGAGACCAAGGTTCCCGTAGTTATAGAACCACCAAAATGAGAGGTCTCACACATTAGTAAGACCTTTTGACCTGCAAAATAAGAGTAATGCAACTCAAAAGAAATTGATGATGTGAAGGGAGCATATCTCCTTCTTACTCTTATTCTTATTTTCTACATATTTCCTAATCATCATGAATTCATATTTCAACTACTCATGCAAATGCACAATGACATAAAAAAAAATTTAAAATTTTATTTTTTAAAAAAATTTGTACTCACTCAATATTATCTTCGTCATTTTTTTTTAAAAAAAAAAAATTTCAAAAATAAAACATCATGCATCATTCTTTGTACTCACTCACCCACATTATCTATCTTACACTATTTCAGGAAAGTTTGTTACGAAACTGTTGAATTTTAGTTTGATCGTGAGTATCATTATTATAAATATGGGATCAAATCACCGTGAGACACAATCATCAATGTTGAGGAAAACTCTGCATCTCAAAGCTAAAAAACCTGAAACGGAAAGTTTGAAGGTTCTGGGCCGCATGTTAAAGAAATCGCAACAGTTGACCCTCGCTAGAAACTATGGGAATGTCCTGGATTTATTGGAGGTGGATGTTCAAGTTGAGGCAATCACTGCAATTGCACAGTATTATGATTCACCTCTACGATGCTTTACTTTTCAAGATTTTCAGTTAGCCCCTACATTGGAAGAATTTGAGCGAGTCTTCGGGTTATCTTTAGAAGAGGAGAAACCCTATCGTTACATTGGGCATTATCCTTCCATGCACGTTGTTGCTGAGATCTTGAAAGTTCAGGTGAGAGAGTTACAAGAAAGGAAGCAAATTCGGAATGAAACTGAGGGATTTCCGAGAAAGTATCTTGAAGAACATCTTCACCACTTAGCAGAAGAAGGGGAATGGGACACTTTCATTGATGTGTTGGCCCTCACTATATATGGCATTCTCATATTCCCTAATATTGATGAATTTGTGGACTTTGCAGCCATTGATGTATTTGTAGCACGCAAATTCAAACGTGAAAACCCAGTCCCAGCCATTCTTGCTGATGTTTACTATACCTTGAGCTTTTG